CTTGTGCAACTTAATTTAATTTCATGTCATTTAGACAACTGAATGTCTATCTTGACATGCCATTAAGGAATCGCAAGCTCCAGCAGCCTTCAGAGTAAATAAAAATCAAGTGTGTTGGACTTGTCTGTTTGACTGATCTGCTCCTGCAGACCTGTAAGAGACGGATGAGGCCAGAAGCAGGTCTCTTGGGTTGGTACTCCAGCGTTTTCTCATGAGTAGGCTGGTAGTGACAGGCCATTAGGGGCTCTTCAGTACTGGCTTTTTAAACTAAAATGAGCCGAGAACGACTGAAGTGGCGTGCAGGCCGTCCGCTCTGTTCAACCTTTGTGATCGAGAACGGCATGTTTCAGCACCGAGCCATTCATTAGTAATGAAGCAACACTTCTGTGGGATCCATCCTCTTCCTCTGACAGTGAGAGAATACATAGAGGCTTCACTCCCCAATCGTGGAGGTAGCATCGAGGGCAGCATTTCAACTTGACTCGCTTAGAATGGAAGTCCAAGGACAGGAATCAGTAAAAAAAAAAAAAAAAAAAAATTTTTTTAATTAAAAATTAAAAATAAAAAAAAAAAATAAAAAAAAAAAAAAATTTTATAAAAAAAAAAATAAAAAAATAACACCCCTTTTCCCCCAAAAAAAAAAAAAAAAAAAAAAAAAAAAAAAAAAAAAAAATATATTTTTAATTTTCCCGTTTTTTCGTTTGGGTGAAAGAAATACATGATTTTTTTTAGTTTTTAGGTGAGTGTTGTTTTGGTGCACTCCTGTGTTTTACTTTGAGCTACAGCATCCCGGCTGCGTTGGCAACACACACATTCTTTCAGTGGAAAAAGGAGTCAATTTAACATGTTTCGTACACTTAAGGCGAAAATATTCAACAAAATCAGTTTTTTCTTTAGTTTTTTGCAGAAAGGTTTAATGACTCACAACTACTGAATGCGTTTGACTGAATTTCAAGTAAATGTATTTCAGTGTACAGGGAGACATGTTGAAATGATTCATAATCAGTCTTTCACAAGGTTGATAAATGGTGGGGGTATTACTTTACAGCTCATCAGTATTTTTAAAGGCACTTTGTTTCAATGCAGGACTCCTAGAACCGGCTGATTGGTAGTTACATGAGCAGGAAAAAACTGTGCATGTGGCTTTAACGTAGAGCTGATATTCATACAGCTAGAGTAAAGTGTGTTTGCTTCTCGTCTGCAACTGCAATAAAGCCCGATTTCTTGAAGTGTCGTGAAAATGTGACTGTTTACTTTTTTTTTTATTATTGTTTCTTTCCCTTTCCTCTGTCTCACATTCTCACCTCCAGTTTATCTCATTCTTTGTTTCTTTGTGTTCTCATGTCAGTCTCACTCTATGACTCTCTGAGCATTCGCACTCCATTGACAGATCTGGCAGTGTGTGAAAACAAAGTGCATGAAAGTAAGGAACTTTTCCAAACACTACAACATAAACCCATTAAAGCTCAAAATCCTTTCGGTTCAAACCGTTGTGCTGTTGAAGAAAATTTGCTGGAAGCATGCCACCCTGACCCTGAGGAGCCGGTGCTGGCACCGGTGCCGTCTCTGCCGCTCCATTGGTCATCGAAGAGGTACAGCAGTGTGAGACAGGAAAAATGCCTCCTTATTCTTTATTAAATTCTGAAGAGCACACAGCCCATGGGGGAGGCTTTCCTTCACACTGGCTGTCATGAAGTGTGTGAGCATTCATTGATTTCTCTCAGTACAGAGCATGCCCTTGGATATAGGCCTGCTTGTGGGCATGGAGAGCAAAAGAGCGAAGTAATCAATGTGGACGGCGTGTCTCTGTCAGTGAATCTGGTCTTCCTCAGAGGAAGGGCAGAGAGGTGATTATGCTGGGATTTCACCTGTGTGACAGCTGTCTTTCACACACATACTCACATGCACGTATGCGCAGAACAGTGGAGAAAGTCTACTAGAGCCAACTTTTCTTCACTGTAGTTTTGAAATTCCTAATAATGATGTATCCTGATTAAATCGCATTTCATTTGCATATTTAAGACCAGTCTGTCTGTCTCTGCGTTCTGCCAAGCTCATGCCGGGAAACCTCAGATAAATCCGTGTTCTTAAAAGCCATGTGATTATCATCCATTCAGATCTCCGGTGTGACGACAGGTTGTATCCACAGAGGGAGAGACACGCCGTGCTTGTTTTTGCTTAGATAAGCATTATCAGCTACATTTCGATGCTGGCTCACCTCAGCCCACAATGTCACAGTCCACTGAAACTCTGAATGATTTTGTAAGCCAGTGACTCTGTGCTAGACCACTTGCATACAAAATTTGGCTTCATCTCCTGTCTCCTAGCTCTCCTTGTCTGTCTGGTTGAACCTGAGCCACTGTGAGCATCTGCCAATTATAGGGCCGAAATCACAGTTTAGAGTTTCATTGCTTCCGAGGCCTATTTAAAAACAAAGTATAAATTTAGGACATGGCTATCTAGAAATCATTTTTCTGCTTAAATGTACAGCACAGCAGCATGTCTGTGACCTTCAGTTGAATACAGTGAGGGGAAAACCAAAGAGTCCTGTCTGTTCGGATACATTGTGTATTGTCTGGTAAACTGCTGAGTAAATGCTAAATCAGTAAATCAGACCTAGAAGTAAATTATCCCCTTCCCACCCTTTTGTTTTTTTGGTGGTTTTTTTTTGGTACTTGAAAGGTTAAAGGCTAACATGTGCTTCCTCTTCCTTTCTACATGTGAAACCAGCCACCAAATCTTTTGTGAACTGCTGCTCATGCTGCCTCAGAAGCCAGTGTAACACACTCTGAGGAAAGCGCTATCCACCCTCTTCCACATACATGAGCTCACAGACACGCACGATTGCCTAGTGTCACTGTGATTGACACCCAGAGATCACAGTCAGTTTTGCTCTCGGACTCCTGGCCACAGCTGTGGCATCATCAGGATTCTTGGTTTCTTCTTTTTTGGTGTTTACTGTTCTCACTTCTCACAATTACATGAAGAATGATAACACCACCCCATAACTTCCTTTGAAGTTCTCCTATGTTAAGCAGTGAGAAACAGACATGGGTACTCAACCATGGTGCAGACGGTTCTGAATTTTGATTAGTAACTAGACTGCGCTTTACCCCACTGTGCAGTGTAAAAGCACTATCTCATGGTCAGGTTCATCTCATTGGCAGCGATTATAGCTCACTTTTATATCTGCACTTCCCTGGTCTCTGCCTGCTGTAAACTTCACTCTCCTCTATACGGGACAGGCCTAGGCCCCAAAGTAAATATAGAGCCTTATTCCATTAGGTGCATCATGAATATACAGAACAGAGCTGTAAATCCAAATGCCAGCCCCACCCCTGCCTCTGAGACCTCTGACTAATCCTTTATTGAATCTCTTGTAATGAGTGTGCTGAGACCGGCACTTCACCCACTACAAATATTCTCCTTTGTGAACCCCAAAGCACTTAGTGACCATAGCTTAGTGCACTTGACTGATGTTCCAGCTCTAACGGCCTAATTATTTCTTTGATAGCATGTTATGTGATATTTTGCATTCTCGTAATTTATAGGAGCAAAAGCATTCAGCTGTACTCCTATACCTGAGGGAGTCATGATCAGGCATGAAAAGGAGAGGGGAAAACTGGGTGTATTTCAATTTTTCTGCTCTTGTGCATGTTTCAGAGATGCGTTGTAGAATAGGACAGGCTGTGGGATGCCTGGAATGTATGCATGTCTTTAAGCTCCTACTCCTGGAATGTGAAGTTTCGCTGTGCACTTTCTTTTGGAATTTTGCTTTTGCACGAATGAATCCATGTTTTTTCTACTCTATGGATTCAAAGTGTGTGATCAGGTGTGACACTTGCAACTTTACGCTCCATATGTATTTGCATTCCTCGAGTACTCCAGAGCCAAGTCCAGGGAGGGTTTTTTTTTTGTGTGTGTGTTTAAACCTACATGACACCACCGGGAACACATTGAGGCCTAGAGAGTGTGTAAGCAGTAGGTTGTTCGCGTGTGTCATCTTATCTATTTTAGATCTTTTAGCTTCTGTTCACTTCTGCCATACAAGTCTACACTTCCCTATCCATTTTCCACATGGTCAGTCTTCAAAATAATCACTGTAAAGTAAAATGTCTTTCTAACCTTTTTACTTTCTCTGTTTTGCAAATGGGCCCGAGCTCCAAACTGCTCATCCTCCCAGTAAGTGCTCTCTATTTTGCCTCAAGCTTTGACATGGATCATTTACATAAATTTGGAGCAGCCAGCAACATTATACACAAGACTAGCAAACATTTCTAAATTATTTAAAACAGCAGACACGGAAAAAATAGTGTAAATAACTAATGAACCAAGCCTATCTAAGCCTATGAGTTCTCTCTGTCTGTGTGTGTGTATTTACACTATATAGAAACACAGTCCAGGTATAGTGGGTGGCAGTTTTATTCCTTGAATAAAGCAAGTAATGAAAGTAAACCGGTAGTTCGTATTTCGTTTTCCCAGCAGAAAGAATTGCCTCACACGGTTTATTTAATACCAGGATGGTATGATTTAACTTTGGAAAGGCGAAATCCTGTTTGTTACAGTGTTCAATGTTGTTGAACTGCATTATTGCAAATTGCTGTTGAACTGCACTAAGCAGAATTCACTAGACGCTCTAAAGACGAGCGCACTTGCCTAAATTGAGTGTGGAGAATGAGCCTTCATGGTCGTCTGCACAGTCCCTGTAATGTAGGCCAGTTTAGATTATTATCTGCACCACTAAAAGGTACTTTGAGTCAGAAACCCAGGATGCAATTACCACACAGGACACCTACTTAGAGTGCTTCACAGACACAAGCAACGTGTGTGTGTGTGTGTGTGTGTGTTGGTCCCTGGGGCAAAGGCAGAGATTTTTGCCCAGCCTAAGCAGGTTTGACCCTGTTAAAATCTGCCCTGAGTGTCCACTCAAGATTCTTCTGTTTGAGGACTTGCCAAGTTCCCATTATCACCAATCCTGAAGGAATATTATCTTTCCCGGGGGCACAGTGGCTTAGTGGTTAGCAGCTTGCCTTGCACCTCTGGGGTTGGGGGTTCGATTCCTGCCTCTGCCTTCCACATGTTCTCCGCATGGTTCAGGGGTGTCCTCCGGGTACTTCGGTTTCCTCCCCAAGTTCAAAGACCTGCGTTGTATGCTTATTGGCATCTCTAAATTGTCTGTAGTGTGAGTGTGTCCTGTGATGGGTTGGTACCTCGTTCAGGGTGTCCCCCACCTTGTGCCTCGAGCCTCCTGGGATAGGCTCCAGGCTCAATGTGACCCTGTGTCAGATAAGCAGTACAGAAAATGGATGGATGGATTATCTTTCACCTAATAATTTGTTTACTGATTCTGTTATGCTTTTATAGGGGGGGGAGAAAAGAAAACGCACACATCATTTATATATTTTTTTTTTTTTTTTTTTTCTCTCTCTCTCTCTCTCACTGCATACTCAGTGAGTTTCATAATCATGAATTTGTTCATGCGAAAAACACATTTGTTTGAATATTTGCTGAATGAATGTACTGTGAAATGCTCTATTTATTCACAATGAGTTGTCTGGTTTTTTGGGGGTTTTTTTCCTTTTCTTTTTTTTCTTTTTTAGATTCAGCCATGCAATTGCTGTCCCTAATTGACAAGTTTGCATCACACCAACATTATACACGCACGCCTGCCTCTTTGGTACAAATTATCAGAAAAAAAAGTACATGCTTCATTAGAGCCTTGATCATTGCTTCATAATGTCATTGCTCGCCAACTGGTTTGGTTACAGATGATCATAGCAGATGAATTTAAGTATCAGTCTAGTGGGAGAGAAAATGGGACAGCGTATAAAAAGTCAGTCCTTCATATACAGTAATGTTTCTAATAATTCACTGCTTCTGCCTGGTAACTTTGATCCTAAAAAAAGGAAATATTGGAAAACGTCATTGGAAATGCATCCGATTCAGCTGCACCCTGGGTGATTATCAGTGAAAGATTATAAATAAGTAATAATGATTTCACTCATCATTTGGTTCTGGGGCATGTTCAGGATGAGTTTGTCAGCGGCTCATCAAGACACAGGAAGCATGAGCTGTTATTGTTGGCGTGTACTCTGTAGCTGCACAGCTGTTCTGTTGGCCGATCGGAGCAGGAGGGTTGCTTAGTGCTGTCGAGTTACAGCTGCAAACATGGAACATGTGTACATGTGGGACTTTCTGCTCGTCCTTGAGCATTTACCTGCAACGGTGAATAAATGAACATGCTTGTTTCTTAGTTTTGTATTTGTCCATCATTACACATTAGCCCTATTTTATCAAGGGGATATCTGTATTCAAATATTTGCATATCGTCTATGATGAAATCTTGCATCCAGCGGTTTTCATCAGCTTTCCCTTGCATATTCATGTTAAACATGGCGATATGATCACATTGCTGGATCCTGAATTTATCATTTATAATAATGCACTCCTGTTATTATTGGGGGGGGGGGGTTCTCTCAGTAAATGGGCTCCCATTGAAGAGAGTACAGAGACAAAACAATACAGCCCATTGTGTTTTTGAGAAACTGTTTGAAAGCATTTTGTGGTGACGTGCTTTCCTGAAGTGAATTATGGATGCATGTACAAACACAAACACAGAGCAGCTTAGAAACACAAGAGGCAACATCTGTTTGGGAAATCAGAGACCTCTATACTCTGTGCTGACACAATTGAAATGATCAGGCCACCCTTAAGTTCACAGAAAAGCAGTAGGTAATTTATGCTGGAATTTTTATTTTATTTTTTTCTAAGGGGTGGAGGATAAAAAGCACTTACATTGCCAGTCCAGACTAAATAGTAGAACCTGTAGGAGTTGGAATTAACCAAGATCACCATGTAGAACTAATCCTTCTGAACAGGGCTTTAGTCAAAATACAGTCAGGCTGCTAGGGTAAAATGCTGTTCTCATCACCTTGCTGGAGAAGTTATTGTGTGTACAGCAGCAGGACGTCATCTGAACTCGCAGGATGATGAATGGTATCTAACATCCTTGAATAGTAAACATTTATTGGCCTGCACTATTCAGCCAGATTGGCACTGCCCAATGGTGCTTACTCAAAGCTTGCTCAGCAACTGAGTCATAATTGAACACTTTGTGACCATAGATTTTGGTGGGACAGGATGATATTAAAAGACATCACCTCAAACAAAATTAAGTAGAGAGACTATCACACTTCTGCTGTAGGCTACTATCTAATGAATTTTTACAGTAACACAGTAATACAGTCTAGAAGCTCATTTTTGAGCAGTCTAGACATACCATTCTTCAACTGTGTTTGATACAGAAGGTGTCATAGACATCAGAGACACACTGCTTGCACTGTATTAGAGTTCATTCAAATAATTTGCTATAAAACAAGATCATGGTGGCTTAGTGGTTAGCACGTTCACCTCGCACCTCCGGAGCTTGCATGTTCTCCCGTGCTTCAAGGGGTTTTTGTCCGGGTCCTCCGGTTTCTTCCCCAAGTCCAAAGACATGCATTGTAGGCTGATTGGCATTTCCAAATTGTTCGTAGTGTGTGATTGTGCCCTATAATGGGTTGGCACAATGTAATGGTGGTCCCCTGCTTTGCGCCCCGAGTTCCCTTAAATAGCTTAGCAGCACGTTCCCTTGGATAGCCTAGCAGGGATAAACCTGTGTAGAATAATCGGTACAGAAAATCGATGGATGCCAACCATAGTTTTTGTTGTTGTTTTTTTTTTTTTAACTAGCTCAACCTGGCAACCCTTTTAACTGTCATGTCCTGCTCCTTCCCTGAGCTTGGGTCTGTGTGATTCCTGCCCCAGTGGGACTTTACTAGCACTTTTTGTATGGAAGGTAAGTTGGGCAGTGACTGTGCTGCCCCAGACCTGCGCAACACCTAGAAAGGGCAGCAAATCCAAAGGAACGTCGGCTTATGCCTTTCAAAGAGCAGTTATTATTTTTTTTAATCATTAGTCATATTAGTGTCTGATTGACATTTAAAATGTAGGACTTTCTGAAGTTTAATATTTGTTGGATGATGATGATGATGATGATAATAGTTGGGATGGGCCTCTGTGTACACACCACCACTGTACACGAGGCCATAAATGAGGAGGCTCCTGCGCTCGGAACCTTTTGAAAACCATGAGTGTGTGTGGTCTCGTCTTCATATAACAGAGTACAGTGCTCTAAAATGCATGTTTAAGGTGCAAGTAAGTTGATGCTTGGTAAACTGAAGGAGTGAGTATTCTCTGACTTGGTTGAGAATGAGGAGAGGAGTTCTGTATTTCAGTGAATTATGATGGCGTGCTGTATGTTCATGCTGGAAATGTACGTAAATGCTATTTCTTTGCCTTCTATAAAGTGCTGCAGTTTCAGCATTCCTTCTAGGGATACTGGGTATTTGTATTCTAATATACCCGTGCTCATGACTGACATGGTCTCTTCACATAACTAAGCAATAGAAGTATTGGCTGCAGACTGATACACAGAACAGGGATGTAGGCTGCTCTCGGGTGCGTCTGTCTTCATTTCTTGACTCTGTGGGCTGGAACATGTGTGAGCGGTCTGAGGAGCTGAGCCTCACCCTGAAGATCAAAGCAGGAGTTTAGCATATGGGCTGTGATCAATAATTGTGCGCTCTCAAGGGACGCATACATAATCATTTGTAGGAGCACACAGTGCGACTGAACTGTGAGTGTCCTCAGACATACGGTAGTATACTGTATATAGTTCTATATACACTAGCTGTTATATAGTAATAGCTGTGTTGAAATTTGCATTTTTTAATTTCCAGTCCTGCCAAATATGAAAATATGACACTGGGTGGCATGTTGGCTTAGTGGTTAGCACATTTGCCTCTCACCTTCAATGTTGGGAATTTGATTCCCTCCTCCTCCCTGTGTGTGTAGAGCTTACATGTTCTCCCTGTGCTTCAAATATGATGTGCCTAAAATAAGAACACAAAATAAATTCTGATCTTTCATGTCTCAACCAAAAAAACCCTCATAGTGCTTGTGGAAAATGTATGTGAACCCTTGAGTTAATGACCTCAAAAAAAGCTCTTTTTTTTTGCACACCTGGAGTCTCGTTAAGAAAATGAGTTTGGAGGTGTCGACTACAGCTACTTTGACTATAAAAAGAACCCCTCAAACATTTAGTATGATTTGGGCCTGCTTTGCTGCATCAGGGCCTGGCCAGCTTGCAATCACTGAGGGGAAGTATATCAGACAGTTCTTCAGGATAATGTGAGTGTCTGTACGTCTGCTGAAACTGTGTAGAAGTTGGGTGATGCAACAGGACAACGAACCAAAACACCGGAGCAAGTCCACAACAGAATGGCTTCAGAAAAACAAAATCAGCCTTTTGGAGTGGCCGAGTCAGAGCCCAGACCTCAACCCAATAGAGATGCTACGGAATGACTTGAAGAGAACCATACACATGAGACATCCAAAGAATATGACCGAGCTAAAGCAGTTCTGCCAGGACGAATGGGCTAAAATTCCTCCTGAACAATGTGCAGGTCTGATCCAGAGCTACAGGAAGTGCCTGGTTGAGGTTATTGCTGCCAAGGTGGGGTCAACCAGTTATTAATTCTAAGGGTTCACTTGTAAATGGTAAATGTGCACTTATATAGCGCTTTTATCCAAAGCGCTTTTCTCATTCACCCATTCACACTCACACACACTCACACACCAATGGTAGCAGAACTGCCATGCAAGGCGCTAGCTTGCCATCGGGAGCAACTTGGGGTTCAGTGTCTTGCCCAAGGACACTTCGGCATGTGGAGTCACCCGGCCCAGGAATCGAACCGCCAACCCTACGATTAGTGGACAACCCACTCGACCAACTGCGCCACAGCCGCCCGTCACTTACTTTTTCCACTGCCATTTTGAATGTTGAATGAGTGTGTTCAATAAAAACATGAGGTATCAGAATTTATTTTGATTTATTATTTTAAACACATCATATTTGTCAATACCCCTGACTTAGATGAAGATCAGATCACATTTTATGACCAATTTATTCAGAAAACCATGAAATTCCAAAAGGTTCACATACTTTTTCTTGCCTGTGTGTGTAATTTTA